AAGAGAGGACACAGACAGGAACAGAAGGAAGATGGCGTGAGGAGGAGGCGGCCACCTGCCAGCCAAGTGGAGGCCTGGGATGGTGTCCTCGCAGCCTCAGAAGGAACCGGCCCTGCCGTGGCCACCCTGACCAGGGCGTCTGGCCCCCGGGGCTGCGAGACGCCCCATTTCTGCTGTGAAGGCCGGATCTGGTGCTTTTCACAGCAGCCCTGGCAGACTAACGCCGGGCTTTTTAGGAGGTGTTGGTCACGATAGCTTAGGCACCCAACGCACTGTCCACCTTCACCACATTTTTTGAAAACACCTGGAGATTTTTCAGTCATAAATAAAATGCTGTTTTCAGGCCTTGTACTTTGGAAGACGTCCTGAAGACGGCCGCACGTGTGTGTGTGCGTGTGTGCGCGTCCTTGTGCATGTGTGTGCCTGTGTGTGCGCATGTGCCTGGTGTGTGCATGTGCAGTACATGTGCACACACATGTGTGTAGGTGCATGTGTTCATGTGTATGCATGTACGTGCATGTATTAGATGTGCATGTGTGTATGCAGTTCACATGTGCATGCCTGCATGTGCACATTTGTGCACACACACACACCTGTGCCTGTGCATACGCACATGCACACCTGCGTGCATGCATGTGTGCATGTGTCTTGTGCCTATGCACACATGCATGCGTGTTCATGTGTGTGCACACACATCTGTGTATGTGCGCACACTGTATAGCTGTGCGTGCACATGCATGCCTGCGTATGTGTGCATGCGTGTTCATGTGTGCATGTGTGCACACATATATGGGTGTGTTCATGTGTGTGCGCACGTGCACACACACGTGACTCTCAGCGACACCCACGGTGCAGGTCCTTCCACGGCCGACATCGGTCTCATTGCTGCGTGCTATCGCCAGAGCTGGCCCTTCACTTCCTCACCACATCCCGACAAACGGCCACGTCCGCCAGTTTCCTGTGCTCGAGCCCCAGGAGCCAGTGCTGACGGGCAGACGGCGCTGCCCTGGCGTTGC